TATTGTCCCGGCGATCGAGTCTTCTTCTTCTTCTTCTTCTTCTTCTTCTTCTCAAAGTACTTGTTGTTATCCCATTCTGTCTTCTCTTCCTAACACGCACTGGGGGAACATAACTGGTGTTGACACAGGAAAACAAGCGGTTATAACACCTACTGAGGACCAAATTTCGAGTGTTTTTTTCAGGGCCAAATTCTATCATTTGATAAAGGTAATGAGACCAGCTACATGCTCAACTAACAATTTTAATTTCCATCATGATTTGGCATCAGTTGGTTCAGGTACTGTTCATCTTTACTTTCAGTCGTAAAGTCATATATTTTTAATGGAAATTACTTGCGCACCCAAAGCCCGCGGGTATCATAATTTTTGAAAAAAATTCAAAAGCTTTTCAAAGCTTGGTGCAATGTTTTTTGTCCGCACAACAGATATTCACTTAACAGCATAGTGGACAGGCAGCAATCTACTCCCCGCCCGGCTATACTCTAAGTGCAAACCATTTGCGTGTATTTGTACTACTCATAGTATGGTAGTACTAATAGTTGTTTGTCGTTTTTGACTAGCCGGCGGCTCCTCGCTTTTCGTCTATAATTATATGAACGATTGCTCTTTTTAGAATTTGCCGTCTGTGACCAATTGGGAGTTTGCCGGCGCCCGCCTACACTTTCGTCAATGCCAACTCAACCAAACTAAGTGGCAAGGGAGAAATTAGACATGAACACAAAATATTTGGTTGTAATGTTACTGCAATTTTATACCTTACTGAAAATTTTCATTCATTTCTTTTCGTGCAGTGCACTTAGGAGTGTTAACATACTCTGAACACAGACCCAACTCACCTGAATATGGCGATAAGGAGGTTGATGAGGAGAACAGCAACGGTCATCATATAAATCGCCATCAGTAGAGGCACAAGGAAATTGTACATTGGACACATTTTCCCGTCTGCGACTGTGCAATCGGATTTGATGGCTGAAAGCATAAAAGAAAGGGGCCTTCATTGTCTATGATTGCATAGTTATGGAAGCAGTCTGTCACGCAGTAGTAGCTGATTACACTTCTGCCAGAAGCAACCATCAGGCTCCGGATCATGAGACCAAAAGATCCATTGTCATGGCAGGAAACGGCTGGAATGGTTAACCGCATCTGGTGCTGTTGTGAACGACCTAATTAGGTCGGAGATCCCGGGGGATTACTGCAGACGCGAATCGCCAAACACGCAGCAGCGGTGAAGAAGAAAGACAGTAACTTCCAGGTTGCAGCTCACTAGACGGGACCCGGCCATATTTTCGAGTTTAATCAGGCCGAAATCCTCGCAAACCGCGTCAGCCGCGAGCAGCTCAAGTCATGGTTCTCAGGCCCACAGTCAATCGACAAGCGCAATGAAGTGCTTTTACCATACTTCGTATTGAGACATTGTCTGAGCAGGAGAATCAGCCACGCTAAAAGAGCCGGGCCAGCCACAACTCGAAAGACATCGAACGGTATTTTCGCGCAGTTATGAAGCCCGCATCTAATAAGGATAACAAAATTGCGACAGTTGATGAGCCGAAAGTGAACTGCCAAACCATCACCACACCAACTTCGACCCAAGTGGTTGTTGCAGGAGCTGATAGTGATTATACGCATGCAGATGGCCGCTACGAACTATAAGCACCATGCAATCTGCGCACGTGTCACCCCAATTTGTGCATGGCTCACTATCTTACAAGTGCCTATGATTAAGGATTGTCTACAGAATCTGAAACTTCTGGCAAATACAATTATTGTTCTAGCAGTAGCGTCGTCTACTTCTGAAGAAACTTCTGTACATTTTGAGAACCATATTCCACCTGGGTGATACACTACACCATTTAAATGTTTTTTAACGATATCCAGCACGGGAACATTCGCAGACGAGACTTTTTCGAACAAAAGGCGGGCATTTTATTTCCATTTCGTTAGCTTCCTACTCTCTCGATACCTACAACGAAACGAAGATCTGACACGACACATCAAATGAAGGAATTGATCGTGCAGGATAATTAAGCTTTTTCAGCTCACGGATGTATATTATTGGCGGTTCCATGTCGATGTAGGCTAATAATCTCAATGCTTTTTTTCAGTTCACTTTCTGCTTCGTAGTCTAGCAACTAGCATTACCTGTACGCTCATTTACGAATAGAGATGCAATATAACATCATAAAGCCCTGTTCCGTTGTATGCGGTCTAAGGCGAGATGACAAAGCCCACAGAGAGAGGGTTAGGTTAGGCCCTCGTTTTCGGTTTAGAAAAACATAATTCTTAAAACAGTACAGATACTAGGCGTTGATCTGTCAATACAGATGTTTTGCGGGCACCTAATTGGCAAATACCTTCGTGGCATCTTGTTT